AATGACCTGGCTGCCCTGCCCTTTCTATTCACTGTGAATCCAGATGAGTTTGTCAATTTTGTGTCTAATGTGCCAGAGTAGAGCTTTGCTGCTGAGCTTTGCCTTTTCTTTAAGCATGTGTCACTGTCTCTCAAGCAACTGAAAACTATGGGGGCCTATAATGCTGTTTAGACATTGTTTATATGACTGCTTCACAGATGTTCAGCTCTCGGGTTAATATTTATCATTTCATATCAGTTCCATTTAAACCTGCTACCAGTTTGTGTTTCAGAGTGCTTGCAGAACCAATACTGGCTCAAATGCAGAGGAACTCACAAAAATCATCAATGGAGTAATTTATTTTCATTTTCTGAACTTTATTCTTTTTAAAAATCCTGCCCGAACCGAAGCAGAGCTAATTAAAATGACTTTAGGCTTCTCAGGTGGCAAACACCTAGTGACACTGCAAACAGATTAGGAAGTAACAAGAGCCTGACATGATATGACATGAGATGGAAAATAAACACACGTAGACTGAATCTAACCCTGCGGCTACTCATTAAATATCATTATAAGCAGAACCAACTGTATCAAACTAAACCTGTTATTTCATCAAAACAGATACATTGTATCTTATTAACTAACAGTTATGACATTCTGTGTAACAGGATTAAGATTTAGTTACAATGTATTTGTAAGCCTGCTCCTGGGCAAAAAGACGCTCGTGAAGAGATAAACAAACACCTCTGACCAGGAGAGGAGTGAACAATGGTTCATGTCACGTTATGTCAAGCTCACTGAGATGAATGAGGCCTACAGGTTGTAGTCCAACATATTGAAGTCATAGTTAAACTGCAGGACACTGAGAAGCAATCAGTGTTACTTGTTTATTTGTCAGAAAGTACTTTGAAAACAAATGATTTGAAGACAAACAGAAAACAGCGTTTAATCCATCCATCCATCCATTCGCTTCCACTTCTCCTTTTCAGGGTCGCAGGGGGCGCTGGAGCCTATCCCAGCTGTCATAGGGCGGTACACCCTGGACAGGTCGCCAGTCTTTCGCAGGGCCAACACACAGGGACAGACAACCATTCGCACTCACATTCACTCGCACATAGTGGCAATTTGGATAAATCAATTAACCTATCCCCACAAGCTGCATGTCTTTGGACGGTGGGAGGAAGCCGGAGTACCCGGGAAGAACCCACGCAAACTCCACACAGAAAGACCCGGCCTGATGGTGGAATTGAACTCAGGACCTTCTTGCTGTGCGGCAACAGTGCTAACCACCGTGCTGCGTTTAATTCAGTGTTATTTATATAGGACCAAATCACTACACTCAAGGTAGGACTGGGTCAACATGAGGAAAATCTAATATCATGATATTTTTTTGGGCTATATCACAATAAATGACATATATCACGATATGTTTACAACCTCCAAAGCCAAATGTTATTTTGAACCATACACCGTTCAACATTTTTTTTCAACATCATCATGAATTCATGAGACAAAATAAAAACTGAAAGTAGGAGTAATAACGGAGTAATAACGGAGTAATAACGGAGTAATAATGCCTTCACAGCGTGTGGGAGAGGAAAACCTCATATGCAGACAGCTTAATATTTCTATGGCAATTTATACTCAACATGGCTTTATCATAACCATTAACCATCGTACATGCAAAAACTAGCAATACATCGAGTATATTCGATATATCGCCCACGCCTAACTGAAGATGTTTTATATTAAAGGTAAAACAGGTTCTGCCACTTTACTTGATATACAGCTTAGCCAGATGTCAAATTTAAGATCTTAAATAATTTTGGCATAATAAAATCTCTGTCAGACACAGTCCACAGCAATTCATGGCTCTTTGAATTTTGAATATTAACCTGGTAAAATCACACAAAGACAATTATGATTATTTCCATGCTCACTGACTCAATCCACGAGTGTTCGAGTGAAAAATGCAGAAGTCAAAATACCAACGAGTTTCACTTTTTTGTTTTCTCATGTCATACCTGGGAAAACTCTACATTAACTCAATCAACCCTGATAATATAGCTTAGAAGACCTTTATAAACAACCAGTTACCAACAATGACCTCCAAAGCACCCTGTACCAACCCTTGAGTAAACACACAGGGTATACGGTCACTTAATTCGGAGCTCTTCATATTTACACACAATTGTTAAACTGTCTTATGCAAAATGAACTATAGAAATTGTGAGTAGCCAACATGGTTGGCTAACCATGCAACCAAATGAATACGATATGAATACGTCTGACCGATCACATCTCAGTGCATCAACGCTGTCTGTGATCAGGTCACACGGACCGCACTGCAACAATCAGAGAAACAACATATTTTCTTTCTTTTTCCAAATCAAGTAGTAAGCTCTTCCACTCCATATAAGAGTTAAATAGGGCTGTGCGATATGACCAGAATCTCATATCCCGATATAAGACAACTATCGTCCGATAACGATATAAATCACAAAAATGTAACATTTTCTGTAAATTCTGTGAATCTCGGGCAGCTCGACTTGCGTGAAGTGTTTCCTGTTGTGCGTCGTGTAGCTGGAGTCGAGTGTTTTAACCGATGTATGAAACTATACATTTTTAGACATAAGTTGTAACTTTCTAACGTTTGAGTCTAAGGTTTATTTTTTAGCACCTGGCTTCTCTTTTTTAATTCTCATCCGTAAATAATCTGCTCTTTCACGTGATTCAGTTTATTTTGAAAAGTCTCAACAGGATCTTGAGCTTTATTGTGAAACATAAACAAGCGGACACGCGATGGTGTTACCGCCGTTGTTGCTAACGACAACACATAAAAACAGGCGCTTGTCCATCCGTAGTGTGGTTATATTAAATATAAGAGAAAGAGAGAACTTTAAGAAGTTGAAGAAGAAGCCACTACAGCGACCATCAGAACCATGAACAAATATTGCTGTAAACAGTTAATTTTGCGACAACACCAAATAAACGATAGCGTAAAATGAAACGATGCACGTTTTTATATCGTCATCCGATATATATCGATATATCGAACAGCCCTAGAATTAAATGTAACTTTAAGACAGTGAAACCAAGAGGATCGTCTTTACAGGAATTGTTAAGTGCTGTTCTGTCCAGCGGATTTTTGATACACACCCATTGATTTCTACTTCAGCCACAAACGTGAAAAACATTAAGGGGCGTTCTCTTTTTTCTACATTTGTATCTGCTGAGTAATAAATCTCAGTGAGCATTAACAGTAAATATGAACTTTTGGCCTATCTGATCAGAGACACTTGACAAAGGCCTGGCAACCTGGCTTGACACACTTCCTCTAATCTACTCTCAAATCCCTCTCCACTGTATTCACTCTGATAGTTAAGCCCCTTGCTAATGAGACTGTGCCACACTGTATGGAATTAAAGTAGAACACTACTCCATGCCTAAGTTACATCACAGACAAGGACCAGCTCTACTGGGCATTAGTAATCTGGGGACACGGCTGTTGTCCAGTACAAAGAAGCACATGTCTGATCTAGTGAAGGCACCAACAATGTTTTGTTATGAAACTGTAATTAATTCATGAAAGATAACCACCCATGCCAGCCTGATACTTTGATTATATGAATAACAGAAAGCAAGGATGGTGTGACAACACAAATTCGTCCACTCTCTAATCAAAAAGACATCAGTATTAATCAGTTGCATCTATGGTCTGCCAAGGACTAAGAACACTGAAAAAAACGTTTAAGCTTCAAAATCGTTGGAAAATATGCAAGAAATTTACTTGACAAATAAAATCATACACAAAGAATAAATCCGCCACAGAGCTCTGTGACAATCACATGATTAAATTCGCCATAAGCTTTAAAGCCAGACGCTTTACTGCTCTCAAAAAAGGGAACATATAGACAAAGACAACAGGCTAAAGCATCAAATCAGAGCTGGGCTGGGGCTTCTGCCAGTTATCTGCATAGGCAGTCAAAAAGGACTGAACAAAAGAAAAGGGGAGAATGCACTATACACTGCGTTCGCCAGCCAAGGGCTTGTCAGGGCAAATATTTCATTGTTTGCTGGCTTTGGCACGTTAGCCCGTTATAAAAAATGCCTCTTTATAGGAAGGAGGGGTCGTGTATTTACTGCCCGGCCACTATTACGAATGCAATTATTACACGTGAAGCGGGAAACGTAGGGGCACCTGCGTGACAGGAGCGTGACAGAAGGTCCTTTTTGAAAATGCAAACCATATATTTTACTTGAAGACAAAATGGCCTTTGTTCAGCCTGCAGCGAGCCTCTTCTGTTGTGTTTGGAAATCCTAGCATTCCCGCACCCGTGCGCAAGTCCGAGTGGCCACAAGAAATGCCCTAATAACACGGACGGAGACTAGTAACCACGAAGTAATAACGACTAATTTAACGTCTGTGGAAAGCCAACTTGACACGCGTCAGCTGATCTGCAGTGTAAAGCAGGGACTCAAATTCCTACACATGCTTTTCTCCAATGACAACATGAGCCATTCACGTGTCACTCGGTGCTTCGCATTGATTATGTGTCAATCGACCCTTACAATATCCCTCAGGCTGGCAGAGGCACACCGCGCTTCAAATGATCTGGGCACGAACTGAATAACCAGCCCACTTAAATCAGTCTGAGCCACAGCGCGTGCCTAATGGAAGACACAAGTTGGAGGATTTCATGTAAATAAGCGCAGAACTTAGACCTGAACTAACCGTTTGCTTTCCAAGCTACCACGCACTGACGCGCAGGCTTAAGCGGTCCGAAAACTAGCCAAACTCACACGTAAACAATGCAACATATTCTACTAATCAGGTGTGCATACACACCACAGACTCCTGCGTCCGAAGAGTCGCAGCGACCGAAAAGAAAGCCGCAAAATAATTTCCGCCTGGCAAGCCTACAACAGTGCCTCGCTGGCTAGCCACCAACCACAGAGATTTTCCCGTTTGCTTTGCATGTAACAGACAACTACGAGGACAAAGTCAGCATTTTCCTTACCGTCAGCTCGGCATTGTCGCTGTCACGATGGTTGACGGCCCGTATAACCCCGGACCTCCACGGCCACCGACCAATGTCGCCGATTTCAGGCGGCTCGTCACCGCTGACACAGAGGAACCGCTTCCCGACCAGCTCCGGCCGAGCCTCGACTGCCATGGCCCTTTGCTGGTCAAACCCCCCCACCCCCCCCGGAATAAACTTCCCAACAACGACGCCCTTGCAGACCTGTAACTTACGACATTAAAACAGCTCTAAATAATCCAACGGATGGGAGGAAAAGGAAAAAAAGAAAAGTTGGCCTTGCTGAAAGATGAAAAACCGACCCGGGGGATTTAAACGTGTAGCAGTCTCCACCCGTTCAAGCGTCAGTCGCCTTTTCTCTCCACTTGAAAAAAACGGTGGAACATTGAACCGCAGCACAGCCGCCATCCATTGGTGTTTCTCCGCTGATCCCTAGACATTCACAAACCGCAGCACGCTGGTGTCCCTCCGCTCCGTCGAATAATTGGTACTATTTTTGCTAATACTACACCGACTATTACCGCCACGAGTCGAGGCTAATATAATGAACGGCTAATGTTCAAATTCCTTGTTATGCTCCCGCTCTGTTAGTGGGACTGCACTTCTATTTCTGCCATCACAAGCAGCATTAATATAGGAAGGTAACAATTCTGGAGGAAATTATGTTTATATCATCTATATTTTGTTTAATATGTTGTTTATATTAATATATATTATAAATAATGTAATCATTTATCCATTCTACTAAAGGTATACGTTTTTCATCACTATCCCAGTATGAAAGTTGGGGTTTTTGGTGCGTGTGTGTGTGTGTGAGAGAGTTTTTTTTGTTTGTTTTTCTTGCAAAATTACTATTAATCTCTACTCTTTAATGGCTACAAAGAACATACCCAGTGTGCTTGGGTGGTCTCAACAACAACAGTCTGCCTCAAGCTGCTTTATGTTGTAAGGTAAAGATCCTACAATAATACAGAGAATACCCCAACATTTAGTTGACTCCTTATGAGCAAGCACTTTGGTGACAGCGGGAAGGACAAACTTCCTTGTAACAGGAAGAAACCTCCAGCAGAACCAGGCTCAGGGACTGACGGGGAAAAGACACACAACTAGAGATTATTAATAACTAATAATTACATGCAGAATGGTGTACAAACACACATAAAGGTGAGTCAAGAAGAAACACTTAAGGAAGGATTAAGGGTCATCCTTATAATATTCTTTGTCAAAAAGGAAAGTTTGAAGCCTGATCTTGAAAGTAGAGATAGTGTCTGTCTCCTGAATCCAAACTGGAAGCTGGTTCCACAGAAGAGGGGCCTGAAAACTGAAGGCTCTGCCTCCCATTCTACTTTTAAATACTCTAGGAACAACAAGTAGGCCTGCAGAGCGAGAGCCAAGTGCTCTAATAGGGTGATATGGTACTACAAGGTCATTAAGATAAGATGGGGCCTGATTATTTAAGACCTTTTATGTAATAATAAGGGTTTTTAATTCAATTTTGGATTTAACAGAGAGCCAATGAAGGGACACCAGTGAAATATACTCTCTCTGTTTAGTCCCTGTCAGTACTCTTGTTGAAGCATTTTCAGGCACTTAGCCTATTCATAGGTTTACAGTTTTTAAAGTTGAAGCATTAATAAATGATAGGGCTTCTCTGAACAGTCTTGTTGCAATGGGGTCTAAAACACACATTGATTGTTTGGAGGAAGTAATTACTGAAGGTGAACTCACAAAGATCAATTGGACAACAAAAGTCTAAATATATATCAATGGTATTGCGCTGTGGAGATGTAATACTTCACAATGTATGACTAGCCGAGTAATTGTTGTTGTTGTCACTGGTCGGATTTACTTGTTTAATCTAATTGTTATGTTTTTATGTGATGCCCAATGTCAGTAAATTGTGTCCTGAATGTTATGCATCCATCCGCCACCAGGTGGTGCGTTGTTGTTTGGGGGAGTCTTGTATCTCAGTCCGATCTTCTTGTTAACACAATTAGACTGAGATACAAGCAGTGGAAAATTTCTCAGAAAGGTGGATGGGCTCTGCCTTAGCAATAGGGTGAGGACTTCAGTCAGTCAGGAGGTGTTCAGAGCAGTGCTGCTACTCCACATCGAAAGGAGACAGCTAAGGCTGTCGCCTCCTGGGCTAGGTGTTTTGGCTGGGCATGTCTTTCCAGGAGCAGGCCCAGGGTATACCTTAATCAGATAGAAACTCTGATTAAGGTCCAGGAGGACGACAAATATCAACAAATACAATTAAAACACTTTCTGGGTCTTTGGTTGATTGATAACCTCGAGTGGAAGATTGTTGCCACTCACCTGCCTCAACTTGAGCTTCAAGGATTCTAACAGTTAGTATGACTCGGGTGTTGATTCATTTAAACTAAGATAATCCACCTGCTGTAACCAGGTGTCCGTAAGGCAGAGTACATCAATACGTTGATGAATTATTAATTCATGTACCAATAGGAACTTAAGAGAGAAACTTAATAATCTGCATTTCACTGTTTTACTCTTTGGTGCAGTTGTAATTCAGTTGAAATTAATTCATTTATATAGCGCCAAATCACAACAACAGTTGCGTCAAGGCGCTTTATACTATAAGGTAGACCATACAATAACACGGTAGACCCCGCAATAGTTGTAGATACCACATTGTTCTTTCTTTGGGACTTTCTGTTGTCTTTTGGTGGTCTGGAGCTGACACAGTCAGGTCACCTACTAATCGGAAGGTTGGTGGTTTGATCGCTGTCTGCTCCAGACTGTGCACTGTATGAACACTGAGTTCTCAGAGTAGAAAAGCACTATATAAGAACCAATCCATTTACCAGACTGAAACTCTGCTTCCTGGTCTCAACTCTGGATAGTTTGGGGGGTTTGACCAGATTCCTAGAAAAGAGATTAGCTCCATCCAAGGATTGGATGTTGTAGCTCCTAACAAGACCAGGTATTCCCCAGAAAGTCTTCCAATTATCTATAAAGCCCACATTATTTTTTGGAACCGTTCAGACAACCAGCAATTTTAGAAGGACATGTGGCTAAACACATCACTCCTGGTCCAATTATGGTAAATGGTAAATGGCCTGTATTTATATAGCGCTTTACTAGTCCCTAAGGACCCCAAAGCGCTTTACATATCCAGTCATCCACCCATTCACGCACACATTCACACACTGGTGATAGCAAGCTACATTGTAACCACAGCCACCCTGGGGCGCACTGACAGAGGCGAGGCTGCCGGACACTGGCGCCACCGGGCCCTCTGACCACCACCAGTAGGCAACGGGTGAAGTGTCTTGCCCAAGGACACAACGACCGAGACTGTCCAAGCCGGGGCTCGAACCGGCAACCTTCCGATTACAAGGCGAACTCCCAACTCTTGAGCCACGATCTCCCACGAATTTGTGGGATCCAGAGAAAACTACCTAGTACAACATTGTTTTGACTATTACATACTAATTCAATTCAAATTTTAGTGACCTCTTATTGATGTAGCTGACTGGTATTACTGCCAATGGGAGTTATAGTTTTACAGAATTTATGTTTATCCTTAGCCAACAGTTTCAGAGCTCCTGCGATGTCACCTGCTTTGGCCACTGGAAGATACTTCACTATGGTTGTTGGTGTCAGCTTCATGTCCAAAAACAGAATCAGCAATAGCCAGAGTTTGTTTGGTGTTGTTTATTGGGTTGGATGATTGAAGTCCTAAGAAACATGACATTTTGGCAATTTAACAATTTATTCATTTAACAAACACAGGCCATAGAACCATGTGGAAGGACGATACACAGCCACAGCAGGCTGGCACTTCCTTCTCATGCTAGTCACCACTTGGTCACACACTGCTGTGGGGTGGCATTCCATTCTTCAATGTCACAAGTCAGCCAATGTGAATATATTGGTCACTCTGGCATGAACAGCACGGCCAAGTTGATCCCACAGGTGTTTGGTGGGATTGAGGTCAGGACTGCAGGCAGGCCATTCCATTCTCTCCACTTCCAAATTCTGGATGTAGTCTCTAATAACCCCCATTCTCTGGGGAATTAACATTGTCATTTTAGAGGATAGAGTCCAGGCTCAGACTGTGGAGATATGGCATTGCTGTTATGGTAAGCTGTTTGGCAGGCAGGGGTTGGACCCAAACGCAGGACTCTGAGACGGAGAACTTAACTTAAAGCAGCAGCTTTTATTTGCTGGCAAAAATGAACCTAGAAACAAAATACATGAACAATAAAAGATAAATAAAAATTCAAACTTGGACTAATGAGCTAAACTTGGGAGATGAGACGAGCACCGACAACTAATGCAGAGAATACTGCAGCTTGGATTTGCAGAACACCAGCTTGAAGTTGCCCAGTGGCATGGGCCCTATCCACATCAACCAAATGTGGCATGCACCAGCAGATGCCAAATGACTGCTGTAGCATTATTGTAAGCACCTAGGATATCAGAATCAGTGGCACCAAATCATAACAACAGTCGCCTCAAGGCGCTTTATATTGCACAGTAGATTGTACAATAATACATACAGAGAAAAACCAACAATCATATGACCCCCTATGAGCAAGCACTTTGG